TAATGTTATTTTAAACAGGATAACTACTAACATGATTTCAATTAAATAATATTTTAATTAGGTCTGATGTCTCTACACACCATACTGAGATGCATGTTGTGTGTATGCAAATAGGATGGTGATTTATTGACTAAATAACACAGCCCATTCTTTCTTCAAGGAAACTTTTCTGAATTGGACTAAAGCATAAGACCAGGAGTGATTCACTAAGGAATTTAATTATTGTGTTTGGAAAGGACAGGCACTTGACATGGAAACTCTTCAAATGTATTTCTCGCTTGTCACTCTTTTGTTTTTCCCCTTCCAGATATGTGCCTTTTGACTATATAATCTGAAACATATGGGTCCATAAATGAGAAACAGAGACATGTTTGGTACTCTGACATAATATACTGTATATTGTTTAAATCTTACATCCATTTAAGTGAGTTTTAGTTATGGTGACATTACATGGAAATACATAAAATTTTGGCTTAGAAGCTTTCACTGGAAGCATTGATTTAACTAAAATATTTTCAAAGGCAGAAAAAGTCTTTGCATATCAAAAAATTGCACAATGGAAGTTTTGCTTCTCAGGAATGATTTTGAGTATTTAGGGTTAATTATTGAACTATAAGAAAGTTCTCAGAACTAAGAAATATATAGGAATATATGTGATTAAACATAAAAACATGGCTGGGTTTTGTTTTTTCTTCTCTGATTCAAATATTAAAATTAAAGTAATGTGAAGGTACTTTTTTGCAGAAATTTATTTTATATAAGCAGTAAGCTGAGTGGGTTTTGGTACACAAAGAGAAATAGGAAAATATGAGCTACTTCTGAAAATCAGTAGGAAAAATTATCTTTCTCATAAAAATTTAAAGAAGATATATTTGGTATCTTCAATTTATTTTAAGGGAAAGCAGTCTATAAAGGTGAAAAAATTCTATTATAATAAAAATCAACTAACTCTAGTTATATCAGCAGCTACCCAAAATGAAAGTTTTTTCTTATGTTGAAAAAACTCTGCTGTTGTTGTTTTTTTCCCTACTAAAATATCAGTGTCTGTAGTTTTATGCTGATTTGTATCCAGTTTGGGTAGAAATGGATATGAGTATTTATCTTGCATAATAGCTTGCACAGCCTACTACTTGATGCATGTAGCATATGGAAAATGTGTTTAGCTCCTTGTAGAATTTCACAAGCCAAAAAAAGGATCCATTTCGATTTACATGGTCTGTTTACAGTCATTTTAAAAATATGTTACTCTGTTGCTTCCTAGTTAGAAAAAGCAAATGTTGGCACATTACAGACTCCATTACATTGGTCTTTAGGAAATATATGTATTGCCTTCCAGTTAATACAAAATCAACAATAATCACACTTATTGTGCTTTCAACCTAAACATTCTCTTTAGAGTATTTTTATTCATCCACATTTTCTCTCTTCTAGATATTTTATATTAATATGGTTAACGTATTAGAGCCTGTGCTCAGACTTAAATGAATTGTCATGAAAGGATTAATCCGGCAACCTTTATAAGCATATTTTATTAATAACACCTTATCCTTAAATAGAATATTAATGATATTTAACATTAAATAACCATAAAATGATAGGTAGAAATGTGTTTCATGCCAGTGGGTTCTTAAAATGTACAAAAGTCACTGTAACAGCATGATAATCATTAAACATGCTCTACATAATATATTAATTGCACTAGTACAATTCATTTAGGGCATTTCTGGATAACAAATGTGATAATATTTTTGACTGTCAGTATGCTGAGCCCTCAAGGAATGGAAGTATTTGGTAGAGTTTTTGAAAATATATATCATAAGTTCTGGAAACATATTTTCCATGAAATGATTTATAATTGAACATGGATATAGGGGAGAGAATTCAAAATAAAAATATTATGACAACTGATTAAATATAGTTATTATACTAATTTATTTTTATTAGTAAATCAGTATAAAATGAATTAGTATAATAACTGCTCTGAGTCCTTGTTAAAAGATTAAATAATTAAAATACATTTTAGCCAAAACTGGTTTGGCTTAGTGGATAGAGTGTTGGTCTGTGGACTAAAGGGTCCCAGGTTCCATTCCAGTCAGGGGCATGCATATTGGCTGCGGGCACATCCCTGGTAAGGTAGTGGGTGCGCAGGAGTCAGCTGGTTGATGATTCTCTCTCATCGATGTTTGTAGCTCTCTATCCCGCTCTGTAAAAAATCAATAAAATATATTTTAAAAAATAAAATAAAATACATTTTAAACTTTTTATCCTTGAAATATCTTAACTATTAAATCATTTGTGTTACTATATATGTCTGTTTAATTTATTATTGAATTTCTTAGGGTTACATTGGTTAAAAAAAATGGTTTCAAGTCTATAGTTCTATAATACATCATCTGTATATTATATTATTTGCTCATCATCCATATTCTTGGCTCCTTCCATCAATATTTATACCCCCTAAACCTCTTGTGCCTGCCCCCATTTGCCTTCCCTCTGATAATCAAATACTGATGTCTGTGTCTGAGTTGTAGGGTTTTGTTTTGTTTTATTTAATCCTTTTACTTATTTCACCTAGCCTTCCAACCCCTCTGCCATCTAACAGCTCTCAGTCTGTTCTCTGTATCTAAGTCAGTTTCTATTTTGTTTTGTTCATTAGATTCCACATATGAATGAAATCATATGGTATTTGTCTTTCTCTGACTGACTTTTTTTTTCAGTTAGCATAATACCTTCCAGGTTCATCCATGCTGTGTCAAAAGGTAAGACTGTTCTTTTTTTTTTTTTATGGCTGAATAGTATCCCATTGTATAAATGTTCCACGGTTTTTCTATCCACTCATCCACTGAAGGGCACTTGGACTGCTTCCAAATCTTAGCTATTATAAATAGTTCTGCAATGAACATAGAGGTATATATATTCTTTAGAATCCATGCTTTAGGTATTTCCACATATATTCCAATAAGTGGAATCACTATCATCATAAGGCAGTTCCATTTATAATTTTTTGAGGAAACTCCACACTGTTTTGTCACAGTGGCTATGTCTGCTTTCCACAGATACTCTAACATTCCCACCAACAGTGAACAAGGGTGTCCTTTTCTCCACACACTGGCCAACACTTGTTGTTTGTTGATTTATTGATGATAACCATTCGGACAGCTGTGAGGTGATACCTTATTATGGTTTTAATTTGCATTTCTCTGACGCTTAGTGACATTGAGCATCTTTCATATATTTAATGGCCATCTATATGGCCTCTTTGGAGAGGTGTCTATTCAGGTCTTTTGCCCATTTTTTTTAATTGAATTGTTTGGTTCTTTGTGGTGTTGAGTTGCCTAAATTCTTTATAAATTTTGGATATTAATAAATAATTAATTACAAGGTATATCATTGACAAATATAATCACCCATTCAGTGGATTGTCTTTTCATTTGGTGGGTGATTTACTTCACTGTGCAAAAACATTTTAGTTTCATGTAGTCCAATTTGTTTATTTTTTTTCTTTTGTTTCCCTTGTCTGAGGAGATATATCGGGGGGGGGGGAGAATAAGGCCTCTTACCAAGAACCTGGTGGTCTGAACTATGCTGGCATTTTGATCTCAGGCTTCTGGCATTCAGAACTGTGGTACATCTATAGTATTCTGTTATAGCAGCCCAAACTGACTGAGACAACTAGGGTATGCTGTGAGTAGAGGCCTGGACAGCTGGCACAATAAAGAATTATCCAGGATTGTTATTTATTGATAATAGCCATTCTGCTTCACTGCTGGTGGGAATGCAGAATGGTGCAGCCAAGGTGGAAAACAGTATGGCATTTCCTCAAAAAATTAAAAATGGGACTGCCATTTGACCCAGTGATCCCACTTCTAAGAATATATCCTCAAAAAAAAAAAAAAAACAAGAAAAGAAACACCAATCAGAAAGGATATATGCAACCCTATGTTCATAGCAGCACAATAAACAATACCTAAGATATGGAAACAGCCTAAGTGCCCATCAGCAGATGAGTGGATTAGAAAACGATGGTGCATCTACACAATGGAATACTATGCTGCTATAAAAAGAAGAAATTCTTACCATTTGCAATAGCATGGATGGAACTGGAGAGCATTAAGCTAAGTGAATTAAGCTGGTCAGTGAAAGAAAAATACCACATGATCTCACTCATTTATGGATAATAAAAAAAAAAACACATTATAAACTGATTAACAAAAATAGATACAGAGGCAGATAAGCATCAAACATACTGTCAAACTACAATGGGAAGGTTGGGGAGGGTTGCAGAGGAGGTAAGGATCAACCAAAGGATTTGTATGCATGCATATAAGCATAACCAGTGGATGCAAGACACTGGGAGGGGGATGAGGACATGTGCCAAGGGGATAGGGGAGGCTGGGGAAGGTCGATTGGCGGGGGGGGGGGGGGGGGGGAAAGGAGATGTATGGGCTACTATTTGTAATACTTTAAACAATAAAAATAAATAGAATTACACAGCATCAGATGTCCATAGCAAAAGGTCACAAAACCATGGTCTAAATTTTCCTCCACCTATTTTTTATTTTATTTTTAATGTATTTGTTAATAACCTGGATCATTTGTCCTATAGAGTTTCTCACAGTCTGTATTTTGCTAATGACACACCATGATAACACTTAACATAGTTCTGTGCCCCTTGCCTTAGATTAGATTCAGAAGCTTCATCAGATTCAGAGGCAGTATTTTTAGCAAAATGCTTTATTTTGTCTTTACTTTGTGGTGTACTTCCATCAGGAGGTACATAATGTCTGGGTCACACTCTCTCTCTCATCACTCTGGGAAGCTTTTGATGATCAGTATTTATATCCTTTAATTCATTAGAGGTTGGAACATGGTATTTTATAATTTTATCATTTCTTTACCTATTGCAAATATCACTATTCATTAGATATTTCTTACAATGTTTGATAAACAAATTGTACTGCAGATGAATCACCTACTTTTTCTTTTTTTTCTTTTTTTAGAAACATCCTATACCACCTTGATGAGAAGACAAGCCAGTTCTCAATCCTCCTGGAGGCCTGGGAGCGCTGCAAGTCTCTTGCATCCAACGAGACCTTCCAGGAAGCCCTGTCCAAGGTGTTGCACAGCATTAATTCAGCTCAGGTTTACTTCAAAGCAGGACTTGATGTGTTCGACAGTGTCTTGGTTGGAAAGAATTGAGAAAACTCTCAGCATTTTAAAAAGTTTGTTTACAATTCCTCAAGCAAAAGCTCTAATCTGGTCAGACTTTCTGATATTGAAGACTTCCCCTCACCCCCCGATGGCTTTTTATACAAATCTAAAGCTATGATTAGATTGTATTTTTAATAGACATATATAAGAAGAGCATTTTGCACAATTAATATTTTTCTTATTTCTGTATTTCTGAATATGCAAAAGCAAGTTATTGAAATGACACTTAAGATTTATCTATTAAAAAGAGATCTACTGTATTTTTATATATATATATGTAAAATATTTGGGGGGAAGCGTTCCAAGTTTTGGACAATCTTCACTCCTATGGATAAAGCACATAGGAACAGAAGTTGTTCCTTGTGTTAGAGCATTTAATGGCCTACTTTCTGCAATAGAAATGGAGGGTTGATGTGGTTGCAGATTAATTCGCTATTAGGTATTCATTATGAAGAATTCAAGTATTCTGACTGAGTGATTGGTTGACCAAACCCACTTTGAATGTTTCTATTTTATGAAATGAAGTGCCTGTTCATAACACAACTAGATGTAGTAATACACTGGTTATGAAAATGTATTTTTGTAAGTATTAATGAAAAAAATAAGAGCCATAAACATTCCAGGGAAAAATCTCCAGGTAGCTGCACAGAGCAATTTAAATGCAAATTTTTTCTAACAACTTATAAGGTGACAAGCTTTGAAACCCTTAATTTGCCTCAGTTGATTTTGTAGAAATCCAGGGGTGATATTTGTCTTATAAGGGAGACAATATTTCTAATTTCTTCTTGTGTTGTTTCGGTTGGAAGCCCTGAAACAGAGCTATTCTAAAATGAAAGCATCTCACATTCTTTGAAAACCCCAAGCATCTTAAAAAGCATTAAATTGCTATTTTTGCCACTGACATAAAGGACTTACTATGAGAGAAATAGTTGTTTTGATCAATGGAAAAGGCTCCTGAAATCTATGAGGAAATGTTCAATATGTTTTTTCTTTTTTATCCTTAGTTGTGACTAAAAGTGAACATAGATATAATAGTCATAATCCTAATTTTATGCATAAAAACAGTGTTTTGCTGTATGAATATGTCTTTCCCACACTTCAATTATTTGCTCTTGTGGAAAATGAAACTCTGCATAGTGACATTGTCATTGACTGGCCCTGACATCCATGATTCCCCCAACACCTTAGGATTCTGTTAGGTGACAGTTTAAACTTTTAGCTTGCCCTTGAGAATTGATTTAAGTGTTTTTCTTCTGATATTGGATAAAGGAAATCCCCTGAGGAAACATATTTTCAGAATATTTTATGTGACCCGTTTCTCTTTCCCAGCACAATAAACACACTCCCCCATTATACAAGGACAAAGCAACACTGCAGACAGTGCCTGTGTGTCTAAATCTTCACTTTTTACGGATGAGCATAAACCTATAAACCTAATCTTAGTTTAAAGGAACCCTAAAGTTGAAGGGAAAGAATTAATCAGTATTGATTAATTGATTTATAAGGCTCGGCTGTTCCTACCCTAAGTAATGTTTATATGCTCAAGGCAGAGAATTGAGGCAATTAGCTAGATAATTCAAGCAGAAATCCACTTTCATACAAATTGCCTGTCTGCACATTAGTTTTACATGAGAAATGAAACCGCTTGAATTTTCCTTAAACCAATATAATTGTTTGTTTGAAAATATTTGCCATGTTGAGGAAAGGACTGAAGGACCAGGCTACTGCACACCTCAACATCAATGCCCCTCCACCCTTGTTCTACCAAAATCAACAGCAAAGAGGAGATGAGAATATACGTATGGATAGGGTGGGGGCAAATAAAAGAATGCTTTATACCCAAGGATCTTAAATATTTAATCAAGCTTTAACGCATTCATCCCAGTTCTTAATTTGGGGTTTAATTTAAAGAAAAGGCAAATAATGACCAGTTTTATAGTTTATCATTTTAGAACAAAATCCTGAGTAAATTCACTCCCTTAGTTTATAAGATCATTGATAGCACGAAATATTTTTGTTTGTACATTTTTGTTTAATGATTGTGTACTTGGGTAAACCATGTTGCACAGATAAAAATCTCAATATTATATATTCTTCATTTCGAAGTTTTATGATGTTTGACATATCATATAATATAGAGAGAATTGAAGGTAATTCTTGTATAACACCTTTTCATTAGTCTATTTAAGAGATTATGTAAATAAATTAAATCATAATTAAAATATACATCCACCGATTTTATACACGCTGCTCTATATATTTGCCTGCAACAAACTTCTTAACCAAGAACATTATTGCTAAGGTCTGATTACCTCAGGGTTCTTCCAAATTTATATTATTCTAATTTTCCCAATAGATCCAAGTAAATAAAATCCTATTCAAGTTAATAGCAAGCGTTTTTGGTGATTTGGTAATAGGCTTCAATTCTTACTGAGATATCTGAGTGCTTGCTAATTTGCATACTCCTTCATAGATAGAATTGTGTCTAGATATAATAAAACTTAATTGGTTATTCTGCTAAGAAAATGTACCAAATCTGCATCACTGGAACTTGGGTTCAAGAAGGGTGGGTACATACTGCGCTTTGTAGAAGAGCATGTAGTCTGGAGTCAAAAGGAAGTCTAAGAGACATTTTGGTCTAAGCCCTAAGATGTTATCTTCAGCCAGGAAAAGCAGCATAATCCCACTGGCTGCAATACCTGTAGCAAAAGCGATTAAGAAACTTGGATAGAGTCACATACTTAGCTAGTAGCAAAAGCACCACTGGGATTTATACTTCTCTGCTTTGTCATGCAGTAAATTCAGCTCCCTCCTTGAGATGCTAGGGTTATGAATGATCTTTCCAGTGCATCCTAAGAAAGCAGCCATTCTCCCAAATGCTGCATATACTGGAATTACTGCTCTAATTAAGGAGTAGCTTATTCTCTGACTATACCTGACAAACAAAACCTTCCTAGGCAAAGGGTTGGGCACTCAGGAGGAAGTGGGGGGAGTTTCCACAGGACAACAGAAGTAGGAAAAAGGACACTGAGTGAAATGCTTTTATGAGAACATATTTTAGGCCTGTATTAAATCAGACCTAAATCTCTCTTTCTCAAAATGTGGATTTTAGGGTATGAGGCCTAGCCATCTTTATCTTCAGCAGGTTTTCCCAGATGATCATTATGAACTCTGAAGTTTAAGAATTCTAATCCACATCAATCCTGGCTCCTGAGAAAGCATTATGTGGCAGCATATCAAAAGCAAACAAACAAAAGCAAAACAAAACTGAGAGTCACAATAACAGGAGGTACCTGAAGTTTTGCTATTTAAGAGTGAGAGAGTAAAAGTAACCATTGCATTTCTCAGAAAAGGATGTAGGCACAGCTAACATCTGTGCCTGCTACTTTTGTCCATTGATTCCTCACCACAACCTATTTTTTTTTTTTTAAATGAGGAAACTTAGCTGAGTGATTGGTTGGATGTTCCTTATGATGGTGGCCAACTAACCCAATGACGTGTGGGTAGGTTAGAATATATCTATAAGAGTATTAAAAGGTAATACACCATTTTAGACAATCATGACAACTAGATGTAAAAAAAAACAACAACAAAAAAAAAACAGAAACCTCACATTACACAATTTTCTCCTCAAAATGCTTATATAATTTTATTGGGGAGGAAATAAAGAAAGTGCTTGAATTCACAACCAAAGTTTTATATTATCCTTAAAAGCTTAGAATAACTAACTGACATTTTAATTTTAATAAATATAAGCATAAGGTAGGTTTTCCCCATTGCAAAGATAAATGTTATAAAACTAAAATAAATGATGATTTATGGCCAACTGCCTAATGATGAATCAGCATCTTTGCCTCAAATGAAAAACTGTAATTATTTACACAAGAAATTGGTAGACCTAGCCAAAAATGTTCTCAGAGGTACTGTGTGGTATGAGTGATTAATTACTGCAAGAAGTAAGCTTTCTCTGAGGGTAGCACATTGTCATCCCTTTGATGTAATAGGCTATTTAACTATGTCTTAGTCATATTTTCTTAATATAAATGAATTATTTTAAACTGCCAATCCATGTGTTGAACAGAAGTAAAATGCTCCACATATTCCAATAAACATAACAACATAATAGCTTCATCATAGGAACGCAGAGGAAACCCAGGGGAGGAAACAAAGAATGTGATAATTATGAAAAATATTCTGCCTAACTCCAGTAGTGAGTCTTTATTTCTTCCATATGCTTACATTTTGACCTTAAAAAAAATGCAGTTCTGAAAGATCTTCAGAAACCTCAGAGTTCTAAGCACTTCATTGAGTGCAAATATTTTTTAGTTACCATATTTTCCGACGTATAAGATGGCCCCCTAATTTTACAGTTAAAACATAGGTTTAGGCCTATATTTGCTGTATAAGACTACCCCCCACTTCCGAGGCAACACCAGTTCTTTTTTTAATAGACAGCCTCTCTGACTCTGGCCAATCTGAGCAGGCTTTTTACTAGAACACAGTAGTCGTTTTATATGCCCGAAAATACTGTAAGTGGGCTTGTTTAGGAAATTCAAAATTTCAAGTGATATGAATTTAAAAGAGGAGTTGCAAACAGTTTTTTAAACATCTATTATTCCATGATCATCACCATGCCCACTCAATTTTGTGTTTCCTCTTTCTAGATACACTTCAACAATGAGATTAGGCTCTTTTTCCCCTGAGAGAGTAATTTTAAGATCTACTGGACTCAATATGCATTTATCTGTAAATCAGCCAGAGTCTTTTTTCCATAACACCTTTTCATTATCCTCTGAATATGTGCACTGAAGAGCCTTTAGCACACCTGGGGCTGCCGAGAATCTTGAGGCCTTGCTTGCTGTAAGACGACATATTTCTTAAAGACATTTATAATCTCATATTCAGATTGTATCTGAATTTATACAGTGAAGGATTAAACTGAGGCACTTTCAAGTAGCACTCAAGAAAAAGAAGCTGCTTTAAATTTTAATGTTTCTGGTTAGACTATTTTTGGTTTGAAGCATATAGCTATATAGTTTTCTGTAATCAAACTAGTAATTTTGATGTTTTCAGCCAAACTCCAATCATTGAAGCCAAAGAAATGTATGACTACTCTAATTTCTTAAGGAGGATGCTGTCAAGAATTAACTCAGGATCAACTGATTCATCTAGACAAAGAGTTGATGAGTGTAGACAGAGCCTAACAGTATTCCAATTCCTTTGATGTCTTAAGCCGGTAAGCACTGAGGTAGCTTTTCTCAGAGGGAAACAGATTTTGTTTTCCAGAGGCTAATTAATACGTACAACCTCAGTCTCCAAAGGACCATACAGGTGCCTGTACTATACCATATGTCATGTGCAGTATTCCAGCAAGCTCAAGAGATTAATATACAATCATTATCATGAGTTATTATGTTGCATTGAAGTTAATGTCAGTCTTTTGTTCTAATTAAAGTATAAACTTGGCACCTGAAAGAAGTTTAGCTAGAGAAGTGCAGTTAGAGTCTCTATTTTAATAAATTACATATATTTTTCAATCAAAATGTGTAATCATTTAATTATCTAGACTGCTCTGTAAGTAAAATTCTCCAACTCCTTCAAGAATCTTTATTCATATGTTAAAAGCAGATAAATATCTACTGGAGTGTTTATCATTTTAAATTCTAAACCATTGTTGAATCATGCTTTCAGTAGATGTGGTAGTTTTTTTTAATTAATATTCATGGTGATTATTTGTTTTCCTTTATATCAAGCTGCTGCAAATGGACTACCTTGTTTTGGAAGTCAGAAAAAGACTATTCCTCTATAAAGATAATTTTATCATGTCTGTTTAACAAGAAACAAACAAAATTATTTACTCCACCATTGAAAATTATTCATAGAAAACAAAATGTCCAGATGGTTATGTGTAGTTCACCTGATCATATTCCAAAGATGTTATAAATAATTCTATTCAGAAGCTGAGATAGGACTCTATTAGGTGATTTAGTATTTAGATTTTAAACAGAAAGTTTTAATGGTAAATATATCTCACACATTCTAACATGTTACTTGAAAAATATGAATAGAATTTGTATTCTGAAAAAAGTTATCTATAACATTTTGAAGGGCTAATTTGTTTTTATAGACATGTAAAAAAACAACATAATTTAAATAATAGTTTCATATATATGTTTGGGATGTTAATATGTACCATACATTTTTTCAATCATGTCTACAGTGTAGCAATATTTAGTGCTATTAAATTATATAATAAATAAAATTTCTCAGTTGTATAACAATAAAAAAGACAGCCATAAAATAAATAATGTGATATTTAGGAGAAGATTTATAAATGAACTTGGGATAAAATTTGGAGGACAATCTCTCCAATTAAATTTTCTCAGATTAAAAACAAATACCTTAGAAAGGTTTCTCAATGGCTAAATTGCACTTTGTTGAATATTGTTCAAGATAATTTGATTATTTTCTGTGTCTCAGAAATATTTCCATTGTAAAGAAATGTTCATGGTCATTGTCTTTGTTGTGATTCATTGTTAATTGCATTGATTTAGATGTATGTGTCTGCAGTTCTGAAATTATTATATAGAGGTGAATGTCTAATCTCCATAATGTGTGATGTCCATCAGGAATTTAGTGTGTTTTATATTTAGC